TGATACATAGGTGCATTTGTTGCATACCATTAATGGTTGAAACCTCATCAATGTGTCTTTTATTTCTCAATGATCTATCACTTATGTGACTTTTCCTTGACAACTAACACTTTTTATTTTCTCATAATACCCTCACCATTTACTGTCTACAGATCAGCTATTTTACATGGTGAGGGTATGCAACAACATTACACACACGTTTATTATATCTGAGCAATATACAGTAGATAGTGTGATGTGTAATGTTACGAAACAACCTCATTCCTTGGGTCCAGGTAACGGGGCCCCCCAGCTAGTATACAAAAAATGTGACGTTTTGGGAAAAGGCGCTTCTTCACTCATCAAAGATCCATTTATCATTCTCAAAAAATATCCATTGATCATTTACCCATCAAGGTTGTGCATTCTAACCAACGACCATGATCTATCCAAGTTAGAAAATCAGCCAATTATAAAGCTTACATTTTGTTTCAGAATTATTGACTATATTCTCATACATGAGCATGGTGGGGAAATTGATGAGCCAATGCAACCCAAGGTCTCGCCGGTGCAGCAGGGGTCAGCCTGAGATAGCTCCCATCTCCTGCCAGTACTTGCACGCTGTCGTCGCTCGTCCCCGTTAATGACTCCACTGAGGATGCATCACGTGGCTCTGTGCCCGCAGCCGGAACTGACCACTGACTCGGCAGAGCTGACCTTGGCGCACCTCCAAGTCTTTGTCCATCCATGATGCAGTTTTGGTTAGATCGTGTAAATGTGTCATGAACTCAGCAAATCAATAAGGTTTTGTCACGTTAACAATGTGCCAATTAGTTACTACTTCAGCACACCATATTCCCATCTCCAAAATTGTAGAAAACCCCTTTTCCTGAGCGCCCGGGATCCCATAGCCCCACGGCCGGGTCGCGACGGGTGGTCACCGAGCCTCCGCACTCGAGAAGGAGTCCCCCCCTCCCCCCGGCTCAGGCCATTCATCTCCCTCGCTCTCCATACCTGGAGGCTTAGCCAACTCCCCATAGGAGCCTCGAGGGGGGGGGGGGGCGTATTTGGTTGCTGAAGGTGATCCATGCTACATGAGCACAGCAGCAATAAAAACAAAATACCAAAACGTCAATATTGGAGCAAGGGAACGAGTACAGGGTCCTTCAGGAATACTGCACAACTAACAAGCAAAGTATTAAACGGTCGTGAATGAAACCCATAATAAAAAAAACAGTGGATATATGCATCTGTTTATATGTTGAACCTCTTTCGCACTTGGCATACCAAACCATGCTAAAACAATGAGAGCAACATGCACTAGAAAAAGTTAGGTAAGCAAGCTCGCTATTTTAGTCTAACAGTGACAGACACAAGAACATCGAAAAAAAGTGCAAGCATGTGGGAGCAAGAGGTGTCATAAATAAAGTTAGATACAGGTGCAAATATGATATTTATGTGTTTGCCTAATAGGGAAATAAAAAGGGGGAGTTGAAGGGAGGGAACCAAGCTATAGATGAGTAGCAAAAGTATTCCAGAAACGTGGAACAGCAACGCATACAGCAAAGGTTTAGCCAATGGAATGTTCCAAAGGAATAAGGAGGCACTTTTGAAGCTACAGGAAGGATTTAGAGGAACTGGGTTATCTTTTAGGTACCGGTAGTTGGCAGATTTGTTTAAGTGGACCCTTAGGATGAAGACAACCCAGTGTTGGGTCTCCGGATATTCACAGGGACATATTTTAGTTAATATTAGTTAGTTAATGCAACTCAGTTTGCATTTGTGGTGATTGTTATATTGGGGAAACGAAATTACGTATCTGGCCGCATTCGCGAGTCAGATTTGAGCCACGGTAGGACGAATTCTTCTGCTGTGGCTGATCATTGCTACAACGCGGTAAGTTCTCATGATATTGTTTTCTCCGATACCAAAGTACTCTGCAAGCCGTCTGGATACCACCAAAGATGTGTCCATGAAGCCATCCAAATATACAAACATAGACATAACTTCAACTGAGAGGATGGTTTCAAATTGAGCAATCATTGGAAGGAGGCTATTAACAAAGTAAACTTTAGCTGCATATAGTTTATATTTATACCCATATCTCCAGTCTTTTACTCCTGCCTTACACACTACCACTCTCCCCCGCCCCCCTGCCATCTCCCCCTCCATCCGTTGTATATGAGTACCATGCCCAGGAGCTTCTCTGATCCCTGTCCCCCAACACTCATCCCCCCCCCCCCCCATCCTGCATCCGTCCTCCCTGGCTCCTCCCCTTTTCTTACCCTATATAATCTCGTGTCACAAATAGCTCTCTTTACTCACCGCAGTAATTTTGCTGTGACTGTTGCCACCTAATGACGGAAGCTTGTTTTGCCTCTGAAACGTCGTAATTTGTTTTTGTAGTTGTTTTCATTTTTTATTTTATTTTTTACCTACGTGACTTTACCGAAAGAACCAAAGAGTATGAATCCTTGCAGTCACGAAAACAATCAAATCTAGAATTAACCACAAGGCTTGTTTGAATTTAATCATCATCCGATGGGTCTTCACTATGCTCCAGCCACCTTCCAGTGATTGATGGAATAAGTTATAGCGGGCCTCCAGTGGGACTTGTGTCTAACAGATCTGGAGGATGTTATCGTTTTCAGCCTTACGTTTAAAGAACATTTAGAACAGTTACATGCTGTCTTTCTTAAGATGCATGTGGCGAATCTCAAATTTAAACCACAGAAGTGTCACCTGCTCCAAAAATCGGTTCGGTATTTTGGCCACAGTCAGTAAATCAGGGATAGCGACAGACCCGGACAAAACCGCTTGAGTTCGTATTTGGCCCACCCTCACGTCGGTGGGGGAGGTGCAGAGTTTCATTAGATTTGCGTCCTATTACAGTGAGGGAAAAAAGTATTTAATCCCCTTCTGATTTTGTACGTTTGTCCACTGACAAAGAAATGATCAGTCTATAATTTTAATGGTAGGTTTATTTGAACAGTGAGAGACAGAATAACAACAAGAAAATCCAGGAAAACGCATGTCAAAAATGTTATAAATTGATTTGCATTTTAATGAGGGAAATAAGTATTTGACCCCCTCTCAATAAGAAAGATTTCTGGCTCCCAGGTGTATTTTATACAGATAACGAGCTTTGATTAGCAGCACACTCTTAAAGGAAGTGCTCCTAATCTCACCTTGTTACCTGTATAAAAAACACCTGTCCACAGAAGCAATCAATCAGATTCCAAACTCTCCACCATGGCCAAGACCAAAGAGCTCTCCAAGGATGTCAGGGACAAGATTGTAGACCTACACAAGGCTGGAATGGACTACAAGACCATTGCCAAGCAGCTTGGTGAGAAGGTGACAACAGTTGGTGCGATTATTCGCAAATGTAAGAAACACAAAAGAACTGTCAATCTCTCTCGGCCTGGGGCTCCATGCAAGATCTCACTTCGTGGAGTTGCAATGATCATGAGAACGGTGAGCAATCAGCCCACAACTACACGGGAGGATCTTGTCAATGATCTCAAGGCAGCTGGGACCGTAGTCACCAGGAAAACAATTGGTAACACAGTACGCCATAAAGGACTGAAATCCTGCAGCGCCCGCAAGGTCTCCCTGCTCAAGAAAGCACATATAAATGCCCGTCTGAAGTTTGCCAATGAACATCTGAATGATTCAGAGGACAACTGGGTGAAAGTGTTGTGGTCAGATGAGACCAAAATGGAGCTCTTTAGCATCAACTTGCCGTGTTTGGAGGAGGAATGCTGCATATGACCCCAAGAACACCATCCCCACCGTCAAAGATTGAGGTGGAAACATTATGCTTTGGGGGTGTTTTTCTGCTAAGGGGACAGGACAACTTCACCGCATCAAAGAGACGATGGACGGGGCCATGTACCGTCAAATTATGGGTGAGAACCTCCTTCCCTCAGCCAGGGCATTGAAAATGGGTCATGGATGGGTATTCCAGCATGACAATGACCCGAAACACATGGCCAAAGCAACAAAGGAGTGGCTCAAGAAGAAGCACATTAAGGTCCTGGAGTGGCCTAGCCAGTCTCCAGACCTTAATCCCATAGAAAATCTGTGGAGGGAGCTGAAGGTTCGAGTTGCCAAACGTCAGCCTCGAAACCTTAATGACTTGGAGAATATCTGCAAAGAGGAGTGGGACAAAATCCCTCCTGAGATGTGTGGAAACCTGGTGGCCAACTACAAGAAACGTCTGACCTCTGTGATTGCCAACAGTGTTTTGCCAACAAGTACTAAGTCATGTTTTGCAGAGGGGTCAAATAGTTATTTCCCTCATTAAAATGCAAATCAATTCATAAAAAAATTGGCATGCGTTTTTCTGGATTTTTGTTGTTGTTATTCTGTCTCTGACTGTTCAAATAAACCTACCATTAAAATTATAGACTGATCATTTCTTTGTCAGTGGACAAATGTACAAAATTAGCAGGGGATCAAATACTTTTTTCTCTCACTGTAACTAGCAGGAACCCGCAAGGATTTAATTATGAGAAGAGCGCTACTCATCAGTAAACTCTTACAATTTAACACGCACACACAAAGACAAATATCTCCCATAGCTTTAACATACTATCGGGGCAATTGTTGTTAGCGAACAGCACCTATGATGGCCGGCACGGAACATATTTTTGGTACTTTGCTGTTCTCAATAATTTTGGCAACCTTATGTGGAAGGTATCTTACCGCTGATTCTACCTCAGCAATTATCTCATCGACTGGAATTGTGCGTGGGGTAATGGCAAAGTTAAGCCTTTATAAAGTATGGAAATTATGCCGCTGGTTAAATCAGTGTTAGTTGAGTTCAATACAGATATTGCTTTAAAAAAATGTGGTTATTAGTTGGGAATTGTTTGTTATGAAGTCTAGAGAATTCATTAATTTGGTTAGTTTAAGTTAGATTAAAAAAAAATTTGTATTTTGCAATTGATGCTTTTGAATAAGTGAAGCAGAAACCTAACTTATTCAACTGTTGTGCTCCCTTTGTAATTGAACAGACACCGCAGAGGATGATTCTTATTGGCGGGAAGTGATCCGCGCAAGCAAAAAAAAACTGATTGAATGGATCAGCGACGTCCCCTCCGACTTGCTGGATGAACTTAACAGTAAAGAACTAATTAACCGAGACGTTTATAAACAGGTTAAGGAAATCAGTTACTCTAAGAAGCAATCTCGCATCCTGCTCGACCACTTCATTGACAGCCAAGAGGATAATTGCAAGAATTTTCTACAATCGCTCAGAGATGTGAAAAATAATTACCATCCGGAGCTTCAGGATTGGATTGAAAATCTCGGTAAGTAACCATTTCAAGTGTGAAATATAGATCTCCCACAAATAGAAGAAATAGCTATTACATAGGCATTAAATTGTTACATTCATTTAACTAAGCATAATCTAAGTTGCACTGAAAACAACTACAAGAGCATTTTGTCAGAATACAATGCATAATCAGACACTATTGTTTTCTAAATTCATTACAGAGCAACGTAAAATGCAAATACGGTTAAAATTAGCAAATGTGAAACGGGTGCTTAATTGACATCCCTTAAAGTACAAACACCAAATCACTATGTGCCTGACCTTATTGCACCCAGCAAAAATGAGACTCGGACTATATTCTCTACTATTAATCAATTAATATTCACCACGAACTGAGCTCCGTGAAATAACCCTATCCGAGATCACTCTTCTGATCTTTGAATCTCGACCCATTGTCAACTAGGTTTCGCCAAAACAACTTTACTCGTCTGGCTTCATTTGTGATTGATCTGTTCAACAGACTTCTCAGCTTGGTTATTGTTCATTTCAAATTTAATGTGGCAGCTATAATGCCTCTTCTTTATAAGCCAGGTCTTGACCTAGAGTTGTTGGTTAACTTCCATCCAATCTCTATAAGGCCCTGGGGTGCTGTGGCTAATGGTTTCCAGCAATATCTGTAATTGAATGATCTGCTTGACCCCAATCAACCGGGATTCAGATAATGGAATAGCACGGAGGCTGCTTTGTTTAGGGTGGTGAATGACCTGTGGAATTCTGCAGGCCACAGTATCATTTGGGGTTCCTCAAGAAACGACACTCAGACCCATTTGGTTCCACTTGGAGCTTTCCTTCGATTTCTGGGGTTTTACTCTCACTGTTAGAGATGACACTGACATAATTTCAGCTGAGACCTGACTACATCAGTGACAAATATGCTTTCATCGTAACTCATTCATAACTTCTTGGTTGCAGAAGATTTTTCTTCAGCTGAAATGGTGACAAGACTCAAGTCCTCTCTTGTTGGCTGTCCCCACCACTTGACCAAAATTGTATTACTCCACCTGGTGATCGATGGCCAGAACGTCTGCCAGACAAATGAGATTTAAAATCACGGTGTGCTATTTGACCAGTCTCATTCCTTTTACTTTTCTTCTGATTAGTTGTGGGGCCTCTCTAAACCTGTCGATGCAACACTACAACCAGTTTAGTATGACAGCCATACATCTTTTTTTTGCAAGCACATCTTCCATATGTGTCATCTCCCATATCGGCTATGTACCTGTTTTCAAATAAACTTTTGCTTCATCATCATTATCACTCCCCATCATCACCCTCACTACAATACATCCGCAGCATTACAACAACACAAACCTGTCACAACAGAAGCGCACAAGAAAACACTGTACACCACTATCCACGGAGTAATGGAAAGCCTGGTTCAAACCAGAAGATCTGCAATCCTAATGGCTTTGTCTCTACACCCAGGACTCCAAGAGCCAACGTATGAACATTCACTGAGTCTGCAACACTCACAGGTTCTTCAGAAGAGTAAAGGTTGGTGACTCTCACTTCACGAGAAGATGTGCCATACAAACTACGATTAATTTTACAACAGAGCACTCAGTACATGCAGGTGTAATGGGCTTAAATAGGCGCACACACTTCCTGGGAAACAACACTTTATTAACAACACCCTCGTTACACTAACATAGGGTGGTAACCACCGTTATGCTCTAACACACACACCGTCACTCTCTATCTCAGACTCTCGTATACACTAGTGTGACACAGCCAGGTAGGCTACTGGTGGGTCCACTGACTGGAGGCTTGACTCTTCTTCTACACAATCCCTCTTCATTCTTGACAAGGGCAGCCTCGAACCTCGTTCAGAGGCTACTTATATCGGCCTCGGCGTGCCTGAGCCACACCCCAGTCACGCCTCCCTTCGAAAACCCTCTCGAAGCATCCCTGCTGTGCACGTGCCCCCCAAGGTGCCCTCTAGGCCCCCGGCCCCCACTGGGATCTGGTCACGTGTCCAGCCGGGGTCACAGAGAGTTCCACGGCCTCACACCACCCTCGTGGCCTCCCGAGTCCAGAACCGGCCCTGACGTAATCCCCGCCTCCAGCCAGGATGGAGTCATGTGTGTGTGTGTCTATGCAATAGTGACGCTACTGGTCACTACATTAGCCCCCCCCCCCCGATCCGGCTGAGACAATCCCAAAAGAAAAACCCCATGTGCCTCCAACAACAACAGCAATAAATAACCGGAGGTATTAAATAAAGCAAGAACATATGTACATCATAACAGAACATGCAACAACCCAAGAACGCGGCGAGAGGAATGAACCAACCCCCAGCGCCAATCCTGTGGGGGGGAACCCATAACAAAGACGAAGCACGCTCGCCATAATAAATAACAGAACCTGACACCTGTGTGGAATGTTTATGTAAATCGTGCTGTGCGGGAGCGAGTCCGCGTGGTCGGACCCCCAGGCGATGCCGGCCGATGCATGCCAGAGGCTGATGGAGCCACGTCGCCACAGCTAGGTGGCCGCGTCCCCTCTAGCGGGAGCGACGAGGCTGGTGGGTGTCCCTGGGGCGATCCACGCACCACCTGGAGAGGGATGTCCGGACGGCCAGCTCCTGACGGCGTGGAGGGAGTCACGGGCTCTGGTCCTGCAGGCGGCACCACAGAGCCACCCTGAAGGAGCACCTCAACAGGCGCGTCCCCCAGCTCGCTCAGCGCACCAGACATGCGGCCCTTGGTGATTGGGGATGAATAACCGCGCCGGGGCGGAATGAACGCTTTAAGTCGTGACGGGTGCACAAACTACGACCGACGACCGAACCGAATCTTAACACATTAAGGGCGGTCGGCCTGCACAATATCGACCGGCCCATGCCAAGGTTTGTACAACTTTGGGGACGTCCCAACTCGTACCTGCGGGCAGTGTAGCCAGGCCCTGTCCCCAATGACCCACTGCTTGCCCGACACCTGACGGCCCCGCGAGCGCTCGTTGGCCTTCGGGTTGGCGTCCGAATAGGCCCTGGAGGCCTCGCTTGCCTCCGCGACCCGCTGAAGGGTGATTCGCATCGAATCGGGAATGACCACCTTGGCCTTGGAAGTGCTCACCCTGAGCTGAACGTCAATGGGGGGCTAGGTTCCCGACCATACATACATAAGGAAGAAAGGCGAGTAGCCCGTGGAAACAGGGGGGCCATCCTGTAGGCCACAAGCACCCTCGGGACGCGCAGGTCCCAATATTTTTGTGACTCGTCCATCTGGTGGATTAACATAGAACCCAAGGTCCGGTTAAGCCTCTCCACCATTCCATCTGTTTGTGGGTGGTAGGGCGAGGTGCGAATCTTCTCCTTAAGCAAGCTGGCCGAAAAATGTCACCCTTGATCAGTAAGGAGATGCTCCGGGGCCCCTTTGTCCAGCACGTATCCGTGCAGGAACGCCTCAGCGATGCTCACAGCCATCTGAATGCGGAGCGGCCAAGCAACAGACCACCGTGAGAAATATTCCACTCCCACAAGTAAATATAGTTACCCCGGGCCGTAGTGGGGAAGGGACCCAATATGTCAAGAGCCACCAGTTCATTTATACGGGACACTTAGATGGATTGTAAGGGCAGGCAGCATTTAACAGGCGGCTGCTTCCGGCGTGCACACTGCACACACCCAGACGCTATGCCAGGCCAAAAATAATCCAATTTCAGGGCGCAAGCATCTTCTGGCGGCCCAAATGTATCAGCCATTCATGAACGGCGATGACCAGCCAGCCCCTGAGGCATGTGGGCACCACAATGTTATACCGCTGCAGCCCGCCATCCCAACACATCAGTAAGCCCCCTTTCAGGATGACAGGAGCAACCTCCAGCCAGCCTGCGGCACCACGCGGCGCATCGCCTCGGCAGCGCAACTTGAGGAACGAAGCGTCCTTCACCCTGGAGGCGTCCCCTCTTGGAGTGGGACAACTCCAACACAGCATCGCAAATGAGCAGGGTCTCAGGGGAGGACATCGACGCTGCTGTGACAACGGGAGCTGGTTTTTGAGTCTCCGGGGACTGATAGCGGATCAAACCCAACAAGCAGGCACAATGGCCGCCCGAGGGAAGCCGCGACAACGCATCGGCGTTAGTGTGCCGGGTCCCTTTACAATGCGACACCCGGAAGGAGTAATCTTGGAGGATCTCCAACCAGCGTGACAACTGTCCCAAAGGCTGGTTAACACGCAATGCGTATTGTAGGGTGGCGTGATCGGAGCACACCTCGAAAGTCCGCCCATATAAATAGGGCTGGTACTGTTGTATGAAAAATACAATGGCAAGCAGCTCCCTCCGCGTCATGCAATAAAGCTGTTCGGCCGGCGAGAGCACCCTGCTCCCATACGCCACCACCCTCTTGACGCCGTCAATCACCTGGGACAGTACCGCCCCGATGCCCATATTACTGGCATCGGTGTCCAGGATGAAGTGTAGGTTAAAGTCAGTGTTCCGCAGGGGAGAGGCGCGCACCAACCCATCCCGGAGTGATACAAAGGCGTCCTCCTCCTCCTCCCTGCCCCAGTGAAATTTCTGACCCTTAGCCTGAGCGCGTGGAGAGGCTTAGCAATGCTGGTGAACCCCGGCACAAATCGACAGTAGTACGAGGCGAACCCGATAAAACTGCGGACCTCACCCATGTGCGCACGCAAGCAGTTTCATCAGGATCAGTTGTAACGCCTGACTCACTCACGATGTGTCCGATGTACCGTACAGATTTTTGCAACAAATGGCATTTTTGAGGTTTGAATTTGAGATTGGCCTGTCTCATTTTAAGGAAAACGGTGCAATCTACCGAGGTGTTCCTCAAACGAACGTCCGAAGACGATAACGTCATCTAGGTAAATTAGGCAGGAGTCCCACTGGAGCCCTGCCAAGACCAATTCCATTAGCCTCTGGAAGGTGGCCGGGGTGGAATGTAAGCCAATTGGAAGCCTGTTGAATTCGAACAGGCCTTGCGGCTTTCAAAAAGCCGTTTTAGGCCTGGACGATTCGAGAGGCAGTTGCCAGAAGCCGGAGATTAAATCTAACGTGGAAAAGAATTTAGCTCCAGCCAACGCATCCAACGAGTCATCCATACGGGGCAGGGGATATGCGTCAGCCACCGATACTTTATTGAGCTTGCGGAAGTCAATGCAAAAGCGCAGACTCCCATCTTGCTTTTTCACAAGTACTTTTGGGGCGCCCCAGGGACTCGTGGATGGGGATATCACACCGGCCACTAACATTTCCTCAACAGCGACCCGTACGTGTTCCTTCTCAGCCGGGCTCAGCTGGTAGGGGCTCTGACAAATAGGGGGAGAGTCCCCGGTATCAATGCGGTGGCTCAAGAGGGTGGAGCGGCCCAAGTCAAACTTGCCGTGACTAAACACGTCCTCATAGTCCAGCAACAAAGTTCGCAACATGGACCTCTGGTCGTGGGAAAGGTCCCGATTCTCATTACAAAGCGCGTCCACCCACGCAGTATTGCAAGGCCACGCGCGCACGCCACCCCGCGACCCATCAACAGCCACAACACAGTCAGCCCCTACTTCCACGGCCGACGCGTGGGTGAGTACCGTACCCGCCTGAATGACCGACACGTCGGAGCCAACATTTAAAACCTGGATGAAGGGCTGATGTTCCCTAGACACCAACGTCTGCGCCCCCACAAGCGCCATCGTTCGGGCTGCTTTATTCGCGGGCGCAAGCATGATACCCCCCTCGGTGTCATCCCAATCAAGCGGCTTGCGCAACCGGAGGGGGACGAGCATTTGTCCCCCTGGGGGAATCGTAACCGTGTCCGTCACCAGGGCCTGCATCGACGCACAGCCCTTGGCCACATCACTGGGCGACGACAAAAATGCTATCCGGCGTCCCGAAGGCAACTCCAGACACCTATGGTCTGTCAGGATTTTTAGGGGCATCTTCCCGAGGAAGTCTGTCCCCAACAGACACATATGTGTGTATGCAGTAGTGACGCTACTGGTCACTACACAGGTATTGAAGAGAGTAGGGGCATGGACATAGCCCTGATTCACACACAAATCACTGGGCAAAAGACAGAGATATACCCACTATACTGGACAGTGCTCTGATTTCCTGCATGCCGGCACACCATCATATCTCATATATTTTAGAATTCCAAAAAGTCTCAGGATTTCCTACAATGTCTCCTGATACACTGCATCAAATGCCTTCTTGTGGCGTAAATGCAGACTGTTCAGGCTGCTTAGTGGACACCATATAATGGAAGAAGCACATACACCGACAGAAGTCACATGATGAGTTGTTGCAGTCGTGCTGGTCACTCTTGCCTTTCCAGATAGGTATGACACAACTCTGCCTCCTCTCACCTGGATTGCAACCAGACTCCTGGGTGGCACACATATTTGCATGGAAAACCATGACGTCGTTCACCTGCAATGCCACCGACTCCAGTCGCTTTCCAACTCTTACATTCATCCTCCACCAATCGAGTTTCCTCAGCTAAGGGTGGAGCATCGATGATTGGAAAGTTAGCATCA